GGAGCGAATGAGCGAAGTCCTTCCAGATGATGGAGATTTTGGGATAAGACCTCAACAGTCTTCGGTGCCACCTTCGCATCCGCCTTTTGAAGCGGATGATACATTTGGATTCCTCGCAGGGTTCTTAGCAAGACGTGAATCTCTGGTCAGCACTGACGGCACAGAAAGAATATCTTCAAGAGCTACCTCGACCGTGTCCAGTGGTGATTGGCCTGAAGAGCGGAGTGTGATGGCAGGGAAGACGAATTCTCAAATCATATCCGACATCGTCGCTCAGTACTCACGTGAACGACAGGAAGCGGCACAGACGGAGCTGAGAGCTACGTATCCTTCTAGCGAAGCCTTTGGAGTCGGCCCGTCTCGTCAGGCATCCTCCCCATACATGAGTGCTTTCAACGACTCCCGCGGCTCTTTAGCCTCAAGTTACTACACCACGGAAGCGCCGGAAATTCCCACTGTCAGGCTTGGTCCATTAGCCCGCTCCCCGTCGAAATCGATGGATGATAACGCCACTCTCGCTGACCGCCCACAATCCATGGTTCCTCTGGTATTCGACGAGCACGAACACCCACACAGAATTGCAACGCCTACACATTCTCCATTTATGGAAGGAGATGAACTCGAGGTAGTTAACTCGCCGCACTTCATGGAGGAGGAAAGGATGCCTCGCTCGCCGGCTTCTCCTCACCGGCGTAGTCCTGCTCACCTCTCTCCCATTGCCACGCCCAAACGTCAATCACCTTCTTCGCCCACATTCCTAGATGATGCCCAATTACTCATAATCCCTCCTAAGGACAAAGCGGATGGTCCACCTTCAGCCTCTACAGAGCACTCCTCGTTCTTGGACATGGGCAGTCCACGAGACGAAGGCTTTGTTATTCCAGAATTCGCATCTCCCCTCCCTCCAACTCCTAGTACCGCAAAAGCTTCTTCTATGGCACGCCCAAGAAGCGCCAGCTGGATCGATTTTGATCAAACGAGCTTATTCCAACCAAGCTTACACAGGGATAGTCGACCCAGCTTCTTAGATTTTGATCGGCCAGAAGATGAAGAGCATGTAGGAGAGCCAGAGGGAGAAGAGGATGAACGAAGAAGCTTTCTTGATATGTCGCCTCCCGAAAGCCGAAGGTCTTCCAAGCATTCCATCGCATTTCCGTTCCCGCGGCCTCGCGGTTCGACTTATGACAGCCCTGGATTTGATCCTACTTCGCGGCCAAGCTTGGACATTCCTGCTTCACGAATGAATTCACTTCCGACTCCATCGTCAGTTTCGGGTCCGTCTTCGACCAACCTACGTCACAGATTTTCGCCATTCTCGGCCAGCCCAACATCCCGCCCCAATTCGGATAATCAAGGCAGCGAGCGCGCCAACAGTTTCTTGTCTATTATTGACTCGCGATTTGGACGTGCCGCAGTCAGATCTACTTCACCCATATCGCGAGAGAATAGGGATTCCTATCTCTCGTCCAACATGTCATTGTCCTCTCTTTCTCAAGTTCACCAGTTCCCCCGTCCTCCAAGGGATCGTGAGTCGACTCTCCGCCACAGCATTCCAGAATCAATGGAGGCGCCGCGCTCCCGGCGGTCGCTCTCCGTTTCAGATATCGATACGGCAGAAGTCAGACGATCACTGGATTCTGGTCGGCAACGGTTCTCCACGAGCAGTATACATGCAGCCTTGCAAACGAGTTTCCCGCTGAGACACTCTGAGGATTCGGGTGTAGAGCCCTTCTGGAATAGAGAAGAATTCGCAGGCAAACGGCAGAAGTTTCTGTCAAGCGAAGGCAAGAATAATCCTCCTAATACCGATGACGGAAACCGAGTCAGGCGCGACACAGAATATCGACCGAGGAGAGTTAGTTTAATTCAGGAGCAAAGTGTGGATGAGAATTCAAACTGAGGTGAGCTTCTAAAACTCATAGACTTGACATTTGTTACTGACGTGCACTCAGGACAATGCGTTCTGTATTCGTATTTCTTTCCGTTCCTGTCTGTCGCTCATTTCCTCTTGATCCTTGTTTAACTGATTATTGATTTTGCCCATACGTTTGAGCTGTGTGTTCAAAAAGCCCAAGTGGGCTGTTGTTTGGTTATTCCATCCACGCTCTTTATTTCAAAATTAGTATATCCTTTATTTCATTCTGACAACATTTGATACCATTGGATACATTCCCTTTGCTCTATTTCTATTCTAGACATTGGCCTAGACCCACATCGCTTTCAATGCCGTAAAAATTACTCTTTGATGTTGAAATTTGCTTCATAATTGTTTATTTAGTGGGTTACTCGGCTGGCTTTATATTGTAGGTGCTAATGACGATGAGAGTTTTCTCACCATGATGAATACCATTGTGGTCCCCTAAATTGTGTCAGCTTGCAGCAGGGGCGATTCGGGGGAAGAAGATAGAAACACACAGTAGATGGTACTTCTTCTGACTATTACCACCTGCATCCTCCCTAGCAAACGCCGGCTTAGTACAACTGCATGAACTTTTTCTTGACCATCTGTAGGAGCTCTGGAATATCCTCCCCAAAATCCTCGAAACTCAGTCTTCTTTCCATCAGCCGTTGATATACCGATCGATATCCTGGATCACTCCGTCATCTTGAGGTCTTCTCCAAAGCAACCATTCTTCACCCCACACCTTTCTCAAATCCAGAACGCTAACTGAGACGTCCCAGAGTTCTCCGTCGACATTTGAAGTCGCGAAAAACAAGTGACAGCCACAACTGGCGCAGAAACGGCGTCTGACGAATCTGGTCTTGTCTTCAAAGGATTGATAGATTTTCAAACTAGCCTCCGAGTCCTCGCTGAAGGAAATCAGCGACCTCGGTACAAAAGCCCAAGACAAAAATGGAGCGCCGGTGGTTTGTCGACAGGAACGACAGAAGCAGATGCCCGCACAGAAGAGGGGTCTTCCAGATTTCGGACAGGCTTTGACCCATCTGGCGAGAGGCTGTATGGAGAGGAAATCGGGAGGAGGACGCTGGATGGAAAAAGAAACGGAGCCACAATGGCATTCTCCCTGGATCACATCTTCTGGCACCCCTGGATCGATTGATGGCGGAACATCTGGGAAGGAATAGAGTTCGCTGCCCAATCTGCGTTGGAAGCGAGCCAGATCGTCGTCCATGAGACTGGCAAAGTCACCTTTAAACGTATCGCTCATGAATATGTGAGCAATGGGCTTGGAGAGGTCGGACAACAGCTTGGGCGTCTGCCCTTCTCCCAACTTGCATAACGAGAGGTCGATCGTTGGGGCGAAGATAAAATCCTCGCCAAAAGGATCTCGGTACGATAAACTCGTACCACAAGCTGCGCAGAAGTACAGTATGTGGCATTCAGATTCATACCGCCCGATGGGGGGATCTTCGTTGTCAACACTTCGCAAGTAAAAATCCTTGGTGAACTGGTCGATGCGTATGAGAAGTGCGAACTGAAAACCCAAAGTGAGACGGAGGAAGGTATTGTGATTGTACACTGCAGGCAAAGGGAGAGCAGATGTCGGGATGGTGAGCGAATAGGTCAAAGAGTTGCAGTGACATCTCGTATGAATTGTGCAGGTGCTGGTACTACCAGTGGATGACATGGTGTGCTCGGCCGTTCACACGCTCTACTAGTATCCAGCATGCAGCAAGTCAAAGTCCGACTTCAAAGAAGCAGGAGTGCCTACCCACCAAAATACTACTCCAGGTCTCTAAGAAGCTCTCCCTGTCAATACCTGGGAGACAGCGACTGAGTCATGAGGTGTGTGCAAGAGAGAAAATCTATCTGTGACTACGTTCTCGTGATCTCGGGAAGGAACCATTGAAACAATCCCCATCCACAAACGCAAGTAAACGTGCCCGCTGAGCTACAGTATATTATTGCGATGGACTTGGACGAGCTCGTCTTTCTCGAACAATCGTGCGTCTCGATCCTCGAACGAACTATCCATCATAAATCGTGACAGGTTCACATCCGCCGGTCACGCCTCCGGGCTCTCAGACGGTCGTCGAAAGGGGCTGCAGAAGGGTCGTTCCCTCGGATTTCAAGAGGGATTCCCCATCTATTCCGAGCTCGGATACTACGACGGCTGGTCGAGTTTGATGTTGCTTGTGGCGCCGGAAGGGGGGAAGGAGCGGACGAGATTGGAGAGCATGAGGAGGAAGGTCGAGGAGGGGTTGGAGCTGATTGAGAGGATGAGGGCGGAGGTGGAGGAAGGGAGGGAGAGCGCGGAGGTGGCGTGGAATGAGATTTTGGGGGTTTTGAGAGCGAAATATAAGGTGTTGGAGGGATCGCTGAGACTTAAATTGCCGGTGGAGGAGTCGGAGTGATATGTTGTACTTATCCATTGCCGTGCCATATGTGCTACTGAAACGAACGGTGTAGATATAGATTTCAAAAAAATCTCAGGATATAATTTCAGTACCCTGCAACAATGGATCAACTACTGCAGAATATGAATGTGCGCAACTGAATTTTGGAATGTCGCAGTAACCAGACCACTGAACTGACGTATCCTTTGGCGTAGCGTAATTTGGAGATGAACAGTCCTTTCTCGCCTGCCTTCCTTTTCGATTCCACTAGTACACTAGTATTAGACGTTTTGATACTACCATTGTTCTCACAAATGTATTGTTAATCTTGTCTCTTAGAACTCGATTCGGGACGACGCCGAAACTCATTATTATAAAATGTATTTTCTTGCTCACGAAATCGTTCTAATAAAGGAATGAACAGTACTCCCCCCTTCCATCGCGATAGGAAGGCTGCCTGATGAGAAGACTAGATGAGAGAAAACGCAGAAAATCATGAATACCAATCATTGCTGACGAGGAAAGGGACAGTCTAGCTTTCACATATTCACACTCTTTATCGTCTCATACCATTCAAGTCAGACACTCGACTGCTCTATGCATTTCCTGTGAAGTGCAGTAAAAGAAAAGGAAACTTAATAGTAAAGTAAGATGGAGATACATCCAGGTACCAGATTGCATATTGTGAGGTAAAAAGAAAGCTCTCGGAGAAGGAGTTGAACCTCCGTCGACTGCAAGACCAGCAGGCATCCTACCGTTAGACCATCCGAGACTGCTTGAAAAGGACTATGACGACCTCGTTGAAGTGTGTAAAAATGTAGACGGTGTTCGGTGCGCCTCCGGTCTGTGCGATGCCCGTTCTCCGTTCCCAAATTCCTCCCTCCTCTTCTTTCTTCCTCTTTGGAAACAAAATTTGGTTTCTGTGTTGTGCTTTTCATACATCTGTCTCTGTTAATGATGATGATGGACACGCCACAGCAAGTGTGTGGAGGGAGGAAGGAGGTTTCGAATGGAAAGAAGTGGGCAATGAACTCTGTCGAGCTTTAGAGCATCTCTTTGAGCTTCAAGCTCGTTAAATGTCTAATAAACTGTCATTGATGTGATTTACATCCTCTGGCGTGTCGTGTTGCTCAAGACCACGTCGAATGAAGGGTAGGCTGCATTCACACCTATCCTCCTCTTTTTCTTCCGTTCAACCTCGACGGCCAGGATATAAACAGAACCGACCCACTCTCTTTTTAGCTCCACATCTACCCAACCACAACCAACCACAATAATCTAATCTGTAACAGAAATAATCATCGAATTCGGACTCCTTCTTCGCCCCAATACTCCAACGTATTCCTCCACCGCCTCATCAAATACTCGACTGCCTCCGTATCCCTCTTTCCGACACTCGGGTCCCTGAACTGTTGGTCCAGCTTGCGCTTGAACGCGGGACGGTCTGCCTTTGTCAATGCATTCATCATCCATTGCAGGTCAGCACAGTAAATACTCGTGGGAAAGAAAGGATAAACTCACGACTGGTTTGGTGCGGATGATGCGCAGGCTGTGGCGGTACAGAGCGAGCACTTCTCGCTGCAGACCGGAGTGTGCTGGCATCGTCGTCGTCGGAATGCTCCGAAGCCGCTCTACTCCCGCCTCGGTATCTCCGGCTCGCGCACTTTCAGCTGATCACGTCCGCTCTACCGGCGTCCACGGGCCACAGCCACGGTCGCGTCTTTCACCGTGTTTAATTCACTGCAAATTCACTGCAATTCACTGCATTCTTAACTGAGTGACCATCCCATGCGTCCCCTCCACCACATCCATCGCTCCCGCCGCGCCATGTCCACCACGATACCCCGCACCCACGCACCCGCATGGAACCACTGGCGCTTCGCCTTCCCTCCGCCGCTCGCCCGCTCCTCCCTCTCCTCCCTCAACGCCACCCCGCATCCCCTCCCGCCCCTTCCCCTCCCCGCCCTCGAGGGCACCATGCACAAGCTCCTCCGTAGCGCGGCGGCGTTGGATGCGCCCGATGGAAAGATGCTGAGGGAGTTGGAGAGGAAGGTCGCGGACTTCGTGGCGAAGGATGGCGTCGGGTGGAGGTTGCAGAAGAGGCTGGAGGAGAGGAAGGAGATCGTGGATAGGACTGGCAAGGGGAACTGGTTGGCCGAGTGGTGGGACCTTTACGCTTACATGGTATGTCTTGGTATTTCTTTGGGTTGTTTTCGCAATTTGTATTCGTGGAAGAGTACGGCAACGAAACAATGTCCATTAGTCCAGCGACCTGACATTGAGCTTGTATTGTGATGGCTGCTACTATGTCGCGCATGATCTCTACCGCTCCTTCACTAGCTCGTACCGTGGTCTTCATCGCAGGGGATGTCCAAACCCTTTGTTTTCATTCGTGATCAAATGCATAACCGGAACGATTCATCTCAAATCTCATTTTACAAGTGCTACGAGCTCCTCCACTTTACCAATCTCTAACGAGGAAGGCATGATCGCAGAGGAGTGACTACAGATAGCTCGAAGCACAGCTGCTGTCCTTTTCCATCTCGCTCGTCATCGACTTCCCAAGGAGTATCGCTCGCTCGACCAAATTGTGCATGTGACTGCAGCGTTAGGCATGGTCGCCTCGTCTAATTTTTTGAACTGAATTGTTTTCTCGTGACAGTTTGGCATCCTGCTTCTTCTATCTACGAAAACAAGCGCAATTCTAACTGCTACAGAGTCTCATTTTATTGGTATAACGTGCAGAGGCGAATAGTTTGCTTAAATGTGTGGTTTGAAGCTCGAATGCATGTGAAGCTGTGCCAGTCTGGACGTTCCTCTTAAACGATGAGGGCATTCTTCCAGCATCACCAACTTCGAGATGACGTTTATTATATTTTTATCGAAAGACGACCGCTAATACGAGGACCGTAGAGCTATCGAGACACGGTCGTGGGGAACGTGTCATACTACTACGGTTTCCCACCCATCCCACCGCGTCCCTCTCCCCTCCCAAACACCTCACCCAACTCAGGCTCCTACCACGCCTCCTCCCTCGTCCTCCTCGCCTTCGAATTCCGGTCCGACATCCTCAACGGGACGCTCAAACCGGACGTCGCCGGCGGCGCACCACTGTGCATGGAATCGTACAAGTGGGCGTATGGCGGCTGTCGAATACCCGGTAGGGAGGCGGATTGGGGAACGGTCAGTCATCCGGCCGAAGGAGAGGATCCGCACTTTGTGGTGGCACGGAGGGGATGGTATTGGAAGGTGGAGTATCGGGAAGAATATTCGTTGGAGGATTGGATGAAGGTGTTCGATTGGATTTATGAGAAGACGCCGAGTGAAGAGGCGCAGAAGGTGGGCGTGTTGACGGGTATCAATCGTGATACTTGGGCCGAAGTCAGTCCTCTCTGTTTCTCTTCCTAACAAACCAAACGTTCATGGATGCGTCAGGCTTCCGATTACCTCAAATCTGTCTCTCCGCTCAACGCAGAAACTCTCCACCAGATCCAAACCGCGCAGTTCTTCATCGGCCTCGATTCCACATCCGTCCCTCCCACAAACGCTGCAGTGACGACGCCCGAATATAACAAGATGATTGAAGACTGGAGCATCCGTCTCTTCCTCGGCGGAGAAGAACCTTACAATCGGTGGTGGGATACACCCCTTCAGTGGGTCGTCGAAGATGGAGGATTCGTAGGACTGATTGGAGAGCACTCTTGTATGGACGGCACACCGACCGCACGGTTGCACGACTGGATTGGGCAGCGAATGCTCGCTCATGATGTTCCCAAAGTCTCTTCGTCGCCTAGCTCTCTCGATCCTTCAAAGGTCGCCTCGTTACTTAAGTTCCAAGGAGACAAGACCGTCGACTCGTACATCTCGTCCGCCTCGAAGGAGTTCGCTGATCATGCAACTGGCTACAATGTCGAGTTTCACTCGTTCCAGGAGTTTGGAAAGGAATCGATCAAGAAGATTGGAGTCTCGCCTGACGCTTTTTGTCAGATGGCCATCCAGCTCGGTTACTTCAAAACTCATGGACAGGTCTGCGGAACGTATGAGTCGGCTATGACTAGACGGTTTCATTTGGGGAGGACGGATGTTGTGAGGAGTTGTACGATAGAGAGCAGGAAGTGGGTCGAAGCGATGGTGAAGAGCGATGTGGGTTTAAGGGAGAAGAAGGAGCTGTTTTTGAATGCTGTCAAGTCACATGGCAGGGATATGAAGGATGCGAGCAAGGTAAATATCTAATACTCCGTGTGTAGTTTATTCTCATCATTTTTCTTTAGGCGGAGGGTATTGACAGGCATATTCTTGGTGAGCTGTCGACGAAGGCATTCATGCTGAAAGGACTCATCTTGTTTTCAGGTCTCAAACTGTCGGTTGGAAAGGACGAGAAAACACCAGAACTTTTCGAAGATGCTCTCCTCAAGAAGTCTTCGACTTGGAACCTGTCAACCTCACAGGTTTACTCTCCTGTCTTTCCCGCCTATGGCTGGGGTCCTGTAACACAGGATGGGTATGGGTGCGCAGTATTCTTCTCCTCACTCCAAGAGTTACCACTTAACTGAGGCTCAGAATACCGTATATGATACATAGCGAGTCGCTTCAGTGGACGGTCACATCCAAGAAGCATATGAAGAGCCGAGAACTCTTAGAAAACATGTACGTGCGATTTATCCATTGTTTATCATCTGTTGATACAGGAAGCCAGTGTCCAAGCTTGTAGAGAGACGATGAAGATGATGGAAGAGGCCAGGGCTGACGAGGGACAGAACGCTAAGCTGTGACGAATCGAAGACTGTAAATGGTAATGGGTTGCAATGTACGACGTCATGTCATCCAGATCACGCAGGTACCTCCCGAAGCTTCTTGTCCTGACATAGAGTAACATATTATTATTCTGCTGGGTGCATATCTGAACGTTGTTTCATGCCCATCTTATGCCGTCTCTTGAGACCACCTGGTGCGCTATACTTAAAAATCACTCCTCCTCATCCCCCTCCTCTATGGTCTCCAAATCCAAAGCACGTTCGTCCCAGTCTTCGTCAAGATAAGCCTCCAATTCAGCTCGTTCGGAGTCTGGCAAGTCTTCTTCTTCATCTTCCTCCTTTTCATCGTACTCTTCTTCGTCATCCTCATCGTCGTCATAGTCATCCTCGTCGTCATCCTCTTCCTCTGGCTCACTCTGATGCTTGACCTGACGTGACGAGTTTGGGGGATTGCTGGCCAGAGTCGATACAGAGCGAGCACTTCTCGCTGCAGACCGGAGTGTGCTGGCATCGTCGTCGTCGGAATGCTCCGAAGCCGCTCTACTCCCGCTCGGTATCTCCGGCTCGCGCACTTTCAGCTGATCACGTCCGCTCTACCGGCGTCCACGGGCCACAGCCACGGTCGCGTCTTTCACCGTGTTTAATTCACTGCAAATTCACTGCAATTCACTGCATTCTTAACTGAGTGACCATCCCATGCGTCCCCTCCACCACATCCATCGCTCCCGCCGCGCCATGTCCACCACGATACCCCGCACCCACGCACCCGCATGGAACCACTGGCGCTTCGCCTTCCCTCCGCCGCTCGCCCGCTCCTCCCTCTCCTCCCTCAACGCCACCCCGCATCCCCTCCCGCCCCTTCCCCTCCCCGCCCTCGAGGGCACCATGCACAAGCTCCTCCGTAGCGCGGCGGCGTTGGATGCGCCCGATGGAAAGATGCTGAGGGAGTTGGAGAGGAAGGTCGCGGACTTCGTGGCGAAGGATGGCGTCGGGTGGAGGTTGCAGAAGAGGCTGGAGG